AACTATGAAAAACAGAAGCAGCCCCAAACTGGAAGAGACGTGCCATTTAATGCTTAGTTGGTTAAGTTACATGTCTCTATGTTGATTTCAAATTCAGGCATCCAGGTACATTTCATTCTTCCCAAGGTTTCTTCTTGGGGATAACAGCTGAGTCAAACCACTTAGTGTTTTTATGGCGCAAAACAACTGAGGAGGTGTTACCTACCATTGGCTCCACAGTAGATTCGATGACAGACCTGCTTTAGTGGCCTTGTGTATAACATATAGTGGGTGAACAAGCAGCAGGGAGACTCACCTGATAGATCTGTAGCCCTATAAAACTTGATATTTCTGCCCGGATGCCACAAAAGTGGCATTCTTCTCCCCCAGTCTCATTATAAAAGCCTTACCATAATAAACTGACAATTCAGCATCAAACCCTCAAGTTTTACTTAAAGAAAATGGGATTGGCCATCGTAATAGATGCTAAAGACCACCACTAAAATGATAATAGAAATAAACAATACTATTTTTCTTTTCTGGGAATTGAACTGAAACTTTAATCTCATAGATGAAATAATTCAGTCTAAAAATAGTACCCTCTTATCACTAGCTTTTTATATGACATTTTATTTTGTTGCTGCCACCTAAAATAACCATCAAACTCTAAACTGTGCTGAAACTCCTGTATCTATGATGAATACTGTAGCAGATCACAGGCTTTTTTTTTTTTAAACACTAACTGCTCCAATGGAGGACAGTGGTCAATCATTATAAAAGCAATCACAAGGTTGGGAATGAAATAATTCAGACAGGTAAAATCCATTACTTATCCCATGGTTGTTGAAAGTTGTTGGAAAACTCCACGTACAGTACAATTTAACATGACGGCTTTCAATGGCTAAGGATGTGCTACTTCCTCCAACAGTCAGAAGGCTGTACTCGTGTGTTTCAAACTCAAATGTGCATCAGAAACACCTGGAGGGCTTGTCAGAAACACAGACTGCTGTCTACTTTTTTGAGTTTCTTGAGGCCAGGGGTGAGTTGATGAATTTGCGTTCCCACAAGTTCCCAGGTGACCTGATGTTGATGGTCTACTTAGGGACCACACTTTGGGAACCAATGCTGCACTTAAGTGTTTATGGAGAAAGACGTTTGGAGAGAGAGTACATTCTCATGATGGGTGTGGCAGAGTTTTCATATTCATTTACAACTCTTTGCCAAAAGAATCAAAGCAATGGGGTAATGGAGGTAATTTCCTGGTTGCAATATAAAATGATCCATGAGGGTCTTCTCCTTCACAATTCAACCAATCAATTTAGAAGTAGGTAGCCAATCAGGGGATACTAAGGGATGCAATCAAAGCTGAGTTGTTAGGTATTGGAAAGGAAGAAAGGATTCTTGGCCACCACTGATCAAAAAAAAAAAAAAAAAAAAAGGAAATGTTTGCCCATAAATTGTGGTTTTGTTTGCACAAACAAATTTGGGATAGTTTGGTAAAAGATTTTGTATAATTTTGGAAATGGCTTCAGATTAAAGATGGCAGATTGACCCAAATTTGTTTATCTTCATTGTCTCCTGAAAAGCACAGTAAAGGAACATAAAAGGATAAATCCACAGGGACAAAGATGCAGGAGAGATCATTGGCAAAAGATATATTTCGACATAATGCTGGAAGATGGGACGGATGAAAGTGTGGAAACAAGTTTAATAGAACAACAGAAGCTACACTCTAACGTTGTCCTAGGGGTCAGTACAGAAACAGCCCAAGAGATTATTCTTAAAACCCCGGACTGGCCTGTGTCATTGAAATGCCAGAGATCATCAGAGAGAGATGCTGATGAAAGGCTCAGGATTCCAGAAGTGAGGGAGAGGAGAGAGGCCTGGAGCTGAGCAAATGTGGGTATCTAGAATTGTTAGATCCTTGGGTCCTCTGTCCCACTTCCCGCAGCCAAGTAATTACCACTCCAGCAGGAGAAACAAGAGAGAGGCTTGTGCAGCAGGCACAAAAGAGGTCAGGAGTAAGGCACCTACAGGAAAGAAAAGAATGAAAAATTCTGCATACTAAGCAGTGACTTCTCTGGACCCCTTCTCTTGAACTGCCTCCAGAATACTGGCAGGCAGGTGAATGTTCCCTCAGGCAAGAGGTTGTAGATTTTTCTCTTGAGAAGCTGAAGAGCCTGGTAGACCTCTAGTTTCTGACCTTTGGGGGAATCTCCTAAGGAAAGATGAACTTTTAACCTGATCACCACACAGCAAGCCAGCCAATGAGCAAGCCCACTCCCTCCCACCCCGATATGTAGTTTTCAGTGGGGTTTTATGAGCTCATTCTTAAGTATGAACGGAGAGTCAAAAGTTTGCAAGCATTTGAAGAAAGCCTCCAACATGATTAAATCTCAGAATATTAGAGATAAAGAGATTCTTCTTTTTTTTTTTTAAGAGATTATTCTATGTTTCCAAAAGAAAGATTCCAGGTCACAAAAGAATGGGGATCAGGATGGCATTAGAATTCTCAGCAGCAACGCTGGATGCTAGAAGATAAAAGAGCAATTTTTATGAACTTATGAACGAAAAAATTTCAACTTAGAATTCTAAACTTGGTCAAGCTCTTTTTAAAAGTAAGAGTTGAAAAGAAAGTTAGAGTTGAATGAAGACATTTTGAGTTTTACATTCTATATTCATTCTTGGGCTATTACTGGAACATATGCCATGGAAAATGAAGCAGCAAATCAAGAAAGAAGGCACAGGACAGAAACGAGGTTCATATTCTCGAGATGAAGGATGGTCTCAGGATGGCAACTGAGTAGCAGGTGCAGAGAGGAGGTCATCTCCATTGGAAAGGAAGGGCAGTGGACTTTTTGGACGGATGTTTCCAGAGGGGAGAAAATGGAATTGACTGTTTGATCATTTGGAAGATAAATGTGATAGTCATTTAATAGATATGTTATAGAAAAAACACCAGGTCAGAAACATCACAAACTAAGTAAACAGATAAAAAGATTTTTATAAGTAAGAAAGCTACCACAGTACACTGTTTGGCTCTGTTTTGACTATATTTGCACAGACACTGACTACTGGCTACTTCTAACCTGTGAAAGAGTTACGTTGCAAAATGGTGGAAGATGAAACTGGAGGGAGTTTGAATGAGTTAAATCTTTACCTAAGGCAACAGGTGGTTAAAGCACAACATCTAAACTGATAAATCAAGAGACAGTGGTGTAAATTATTTAGAAATAGGAAGGTAAATGGCAGAATAGACAGCTAAAAGTGGAATGTCGTAGCCTCTAGACATGAGGTTAAGAAGGCAGAAGAGGTGGGTACTGCATTATCTTATATAGTATTGTATGAGCTTTAAAAGTAACTGTGTAGAGGGGAGGCTATAGCTTAAGTGGTAAAGCACATGCTTAGCATGCACAAGGTCCTGAGTTCAATCCCAAGTATGTCCATTAAAAAAAAAACAACCTAATAGTAAATAAATAAATAAATAAATAGACCTAATGACCTCTCCCCAAAATAAAAAAAAAATTTTTTAAAAAGTGTGTGTGTTTATGTTGTCTTTAAAAAAGTGAAAAAAAATTGAAATTCACTTGTTAAGAATAGCACATGAACTAGCCAAACTTTGTCTCATAATGTAATTTTCAAGAACTATCTGATCCATACAGATTAAAATAGGAGTTGTATGATTTCTGTCAATGTAGTATTAACTTGAAATAAATTATAATAAACTTTCCATGCCTTCCTTGTTTCTACAATTCACATTCATGGGCTAGATTCCTGTCAGAACTTCCACAAATACTGGTTGGGAGAAGTAGTTATAAATTATACGTTTGCAATTTGTGTTGTTCCCATCCAGGAGAAATTAAACTACAAAAAAAGTCAGTTTCATCCTGAATTGTTTCCGTAGCAACCATATTAAGCTGGAAGGATAAAGCACCTTTGTAGTCGCTGCTTCTATTGAATTACAGTGTAAATGTTGATGCCTGTCTGGAAACGTCAAATGACAAGAGGTTTATGGGAGGGATTCAGTGGTTTGAGGATTCCAGCCTCTGGAATCCCAGGCTGCAGAACTGGGATGGAAGAGGTACACCTGAGCCATTTTAGTGTCTGTTCAACTAAATTTCTTCACTCCATCAAAACCACAGCACTCCCCATCCGCCCAGCTCACGAAAAGGATGCTGACTTATTTGTAAAAGTAGCAATCTACCAGCTCTTTTACACATCTGGATGTGAAAAGTATTTGTTGTGGATAAGGATGTTAAAAATGCAATTATATAATAGATTCGGCGATCTCTGTGTTTTCCCTCTCTCTGAGCACAACGTAAAACTTCAGTCCCTACTCTTCTGACACCGTCAAGCTGTCTTCCTAATGTGGGTATTAAAAGCCTTGTGCATGTGCTGCGATTTGATTCCGGTTGGCTTGGGATACCCGAGTTCAGTTTTCCCTAGTCCTTCCGTTCGACCCACAATCCCTAGTGGTTAGACGTGTTGCTTTTTTTCCTGGTTAACTTCTGTCCCTCCAGGCCCCCCAACTCCCAACCCCCGGCCTCGAGCCGGCCTCCGGGAAGAAAGGAAATGTAGCATGCAGTCTGCTCGAAGCACTGACCCTCAGCTCCCACAGGCTGCCGCAGGGCTGCAGACGTGCGGCCGCTCCACTCAGGTAAACTTCGGAGTGAGTTACCTGCACTTGGAGAAGGGCCTTACCTGAGCGCGCCTCTGCCAATGGCAGCTCACCTGAGGGAGCCCTGCAGCCAATCACCGCGCAGCTCGTCCCTCGGGCTTGTACCCTTTAGTGAAAGAATTCAGCTCCTTGCGAGAAAGTTACCTGTGGCCGCCCAAGTCCGCCACTTTCTGCTCTGTGGCTGCCCATTGCCACGATCCGGGAGGACTCCGCGCCGCCCGGCCGCCTCCGAGCTCGGGCCCCATGTGAGGGGCCCCCCCCTTATCCCACCTTTCCGGCTAGGTGAGGGCGCGAGCGGGCGAGCGAGCGAGAGTGGTGAGGGGGGACGGAAAAGCAGAATTACCTGTAGCTCTTGTTCTGCCATCTCGGGCGCTCTCACACACCTTCACCTGCACAGACTTGAAAGTCCAGTTTCACCAGAGGCTGAGGCTCCAGGAAAAGGGGAGCGAGTTCATTGGATCAAACATGTCACAAGAGTCGGACAAGTAAGTGGATCACACGCGCCGGCTGCTGCTACTACCACTTTGGGCTGATGGCAACTGGTTTGTTATGTTTTTTTTTTTAAGTTGCTATTGTTGGTATTTTTTTTTCTTTCTCTTTTTGGTGTATCCAGACTTTTCCAGATTATGTTTCTCCCCTGGTTAAGGGGAGAAACCCTGCAAGAATGTTAATGTTTAATACCCCCGTGGGCCTTGATAGTAAAAGTAGGTCTTCTTCCTTCCTCCCTTACGAATGATCTCAGCCCCGGCCTCCCAGGACGAATTCTTGGCTATTCACAGAGGTTTTGGTAGATGAGGGCGGGGGGCCTGTTATTCCCCCTCTCGTTATTTGCTCCCACCGCTTCAGGCTCCTAGGACCATTTGGAAATTCAGCTGACTTCCTTCGATTTGTCCAGAGGGCCTGCTGGATAAGCGGGTCTTGGCGGCTTTTGTGTGAGCGCAACAAAGAGCCTTTATCCTGAAGCAGAAACGGCCATCTTCCCGCACTTGGGCCGGAGGGTGTGCGTGTGCGTGGCCGCGTGTGC